AGCAGCTACAAGCTTAGTGTAATAGCCCTTGAGCCCCATCTTAGAGAAATCTGCCATTGTCTGAAAGCAGTGAATGGTTCCACTTGACGAACACTTGTTCTTTAACATGCACTTGCAATAAATACACATATATTTTTTCTTGCTGTAGACATAATTAATCCTACGTTCTCTCTGAGAATGTGAAAATATGCATTAGTTTGAAGGGTTCCTAGCAATTTGAGATTCTAACATGTCTTCTTTCCTGGTAACCATGGTTTTATCTGTTTGGTAAAGAGAATTTTTTAGGAGCCTAAAATTTTTCAAGTGTTAGTTTAAAATGTCAGTTAAAAGGATGTGGAATTTTATAAAATAATAATGACCTGTGTGTCTTTGCCTTATTATCGTGATACCACGTAATATCGCTTATAATAATCAGAAATTCTTAAACATCATTATGATTATATTCCCAGGACATCACAGTTAGATTTATAGTTGCCAACCACACCATGCCCCGTCTCCAAGCAACCACCAATCTTTTGTCAATAGATTAGTTTTGATTCCTTATAATTTTATGTCCGTGGAATCATACAAGTTGCATTTTATTTTCATCTGACTTGTTATGTTCAGCCATTTATTTGTTTATCGATTTAAATTATCTTTTATTTGACATAAATATATGAAACATTTATGAACATTTGGGAAATGCTTCCTTGAATATTTAATACCTAATATATATTAAAGAAGACTTCTGTTTAGGAATCATGTAGATTACCATTTCTTTTGTGAATCACCAAATTATCCAATTCGTATACACTGAAGTAGAAAAACATACGGGATTCTCTTCAGATTTAAGATTATAGTAAATATTTAATATGTGACTATAACAAGTTGGAGTTATGAAACTGTCCCCAAGAAAGGAAAATAGAAATATTAGCCTTTCTTTCTTTTATAAAGGAAAATTTTGTGCTTTGGTGATGATAAAAACCAAACCATAGGAATTGCTTGTTTTGTTTCCTACAAACATATTTAACTGAAGAATAGTCAAGTAATTAAGAAAATAATAATCATATAAATATTTTTAATTTCAGAAATTTATTTTATACACATTCCATGTAACGCATGTCTTTAGATACACTTTCTTGCATCTACATGGGCTGATAAATATGTAAATTTTACCCTACATACATTTATTCATTGAAAAGAATTTTGCAAATATATTTTATACATGTTAGCAATAATCTTTATGGTCATTTCAGTAACCTCTGTCTTATCTGTTTTTTTATTTCTTTTAAAAGATTACCAGTATGGAATAAAATAAAGATTACAAGTATGAAATAAAATAGTGTGTAATTATAATGTTCCAGTTTCTGATATGGTTAAATATATTGACTGAACACATTTTCTAATATGCCATATTTAGACAATATAATGGTGGTGATAAATAATGGTGGAGATAGAGAATTCTTTTGCAGGTTTCTGAGTGTTCAGTTAAAATTCTTTTTCTGCACCATAGAAATCATGATGCTAGACTTACTTTGGGGATGTTTCCATGAAAAAAAATCTACAAAATATTATACATGAATCTAAATATATAAATAAATATAAATGTAAAAAAAGTTTGAATTAATAAAAAGTTGTCTTTATCAAATAATTCCAAATAATATACGTAGATACACCACCTCCGTGAGGTGAGACGAAATTCCAATTTACAAATCCAAGGCCGGGGCAGACCTAGTGATTCTTTTCCAAAGAATAGAGTAGGTGAATTGAAGTTACCGTACACTGGGGAAGCTATACAAACACCACCTGAACCCTGTTAATAAGGGTCAATATCCCTAGTGACACAGTGAGGTCAAGTGGGTATCACCTCCTCCTAAATATGAGGTGATGAGAAGGGCACTTCAATTCTGTGGCCTTCTTTTTTTTTTTTTTTAAGATTTTATTTATTTTTATTTGAGAGAGAGAGAATGAGAGAGAGGGAGTACATGAGAGGGGGGAGGGTCAGAGGGAGAAGCAGACTCCCCACCGAGCAGGGAGCCCGATGCGGGACTCGATCCCGGGACTCCAGGATCATGACCTGAGCCGACGGCAGTCGCTTAACCAACTGAGCCACCCAGGCGCCCAATTCTGTGGCCTTCTTTGCCAAAACCCATAACTGCAGTCTAATCAGGAGAAAATCAACAGCCTATGCCTGTACTCCTCAAGACTGTCAGGGTCATGAAAACATTCCTCAGACATTTCAACAGAGAGTTACCACTGGATCCAGCAATTCCACTCTAGGTACACAGCCAGGAGAAATGACAACATATGTCTACTTAAAAACTTGTACACGAATGGACATAGCATCATTATTCATAATAGTGGAAAGAACCAAAATATCCACCAATTAATAAGTAGATAGATAAAATGTAGCATATTATTTGGCAATATTTTTAAAAAGGAGAATGTAGTACTAATACCTGCCGTAGCATGAATGAAACTTGAAAACGTTAAACTAAGTGAAAGAAGCCAAAAAATGCAAAAGATGTGTGATTCCATTATATGAAGTGTCCAGAGAATGGCTGTCAATATGCTATACCCAAGGAACACCGCCCTTTCCATCCTGACTTTGAGAAAGCTCTGTCTGTAGGATTTGGGTCCCAGACCTTTCCTCCCGCTTTCCTGTGCCTTACTGTTCAAGCAGCAGTTCAGGCTTTTATCACAAGGTGGCACCAAAGGACTACCATAATCAAACTCCTCTCCTAGCCTTGTCTACCAGGAGTAAAATGAAATAACAATAATTTCCCTCAAAACTCAGGATTTGAACCTATACAGAATTATTTTATTTCTGAAAAAAAAACCTGTTAAGTGCAAAGGGAGATTATGAAAACATATACTCTGGGTTTCTGCTGACAATGAAACATAGCAGGTATGCCGTGGCAGTGCAGGGCAGAACAGGAGGTAGGTGACTGAGAGAGGATGGAGCATCACAGCAGATCTGAACAGCCGTGTCCTGTGTCATTGACAGGGAGTGACAGGCAGTGGGTGAAAGAGGGTCTGGACAGCCTGCACAAGGGTGAAGTAATGGAGGGTAACACCCTGTTCTCTGCTAAATCTGTGCTAGTTCTGTGTATTCATTCTTTTTTTTTTTAAAGATTTTATTTATTTATTTGAGAGAGAGAGAGAGAGAATGAGAGACAGAGAGCATGAGAGGAAGGAGGGTCAGAGGGAGAAGCAGACTCCCTGCCAAGCAGGGAGCCCGATGCGGGACTCGATCCCGGGACTCCAGGATCATGACCTGAGCCGAAGGCAGTCGCTTAACCAACTGAGCCACCCAGGCGCCCTTGTGTATTCATTCTTAAAAGAGTTTATTTAATCGAGGTTTTGACACATTGGCTATTTATGTCATTCCATAAGCTCAAAATGAACAACACAGGGAGCTTCACTTTGCTCATCCATAGTTTCTCTAGTTTCAGTAACAAAAATGCATGATGAGTGTAAAGAAAGGCATAGAAACACTAAGAAAAAAGTAAAGGTAAAATGCACAATGTTTGGATCCCAAGAAAACAAGAAGAGATGGTGGTTAGAAGTCAGGCGGACTGCACGTAATGATTAGGTTTAATTGACAATACCTTTTCCATAGACTGAAATTTTGTCCTGGGTTGCATATTATCACGACCATCGGTTTTCCTGCTTTCTCTGATTTTCATTACTAAAGTCACCAGTCTTTGGCTATGAGCTCCTCTTCAACATTTTCTAATGCCCACTGGTGATCTGTCAGCTCCAAAGCTTCCCACTGTCTCGAAAGCTCTGTTGGTGTCTGCAGGCATGGCCATGGCAGCTCCAGTCATCTGCTCCTGTATCATTCATGACTGGTCAGCTTAGAATCAGAGTAAATGCTCTGAAGCCCAAAGACACTGAGGAAATATCAGGATGCATAACTTCTGCAGGATGCATCAAATGTGAGTAGTTGGATTCCTTGCTGTAGCATAGGCTTAAAAGGGAGGACAGTAGAAATGGGACCTTGGTTGAGATAAAGCCTGAAAATGTCAAGTTGACTCATTTACCAATAAGAATCGCAAGGGGAACATTTGTTACATTGCCTTTCATCATGTCTGTGAGCATAGTGTGATGAGTCAGAGAAGGAAACACTACCTTCTTTTTAGGTTTCCTGAAAAATCCATCCTCTTTGTCATTGAAGTAATATTTTCTGTCTAGATAAGTGGGAAAAGTCATCATATCTGTAATTTTGTTTTATTTTCCTCCCAAAATATGTTGATATTTTAACCCCAGGTACCTATGAATGAGACTGCGTTTGGATATAATGTCTTTGCAGATGTGATCAGGTTAAGATGAGGTCATTAGAACAGACCCCATTCTATAGGACTTATGTCATTATAAGAAAGGGAAAATGCCATTGAAGACAGAGACAGGTGGGGAGAACATGTGATGACAGAGGCAGAGACTAAAGTGATGTTGTTGCAAGCAAGGACATCAAGGATTGATGATCACGACCGGAGGCCAGGAAGAGGCCGGGAGGATTCTCCCTAGTGTCTCAAGGTGCAAGGCTGTACTGAAACCTTGATTTGGGTCCAAACATCCAAAACTGTGAGAGACTCAAATTTCTGTTCTTTTAAGCTACTCGTTTGTGTACTTTGTTACAGTACCCATGGAAATTATTATACTACCTTAATTTTAGGTTTTTCTTTCTTGGATATGTTTCTTTGCTGTGATAAACAATAAGGCTGTCTCTTACGATACGAGCAGCAGTAGCATATACTGGTTGCATGTATTTACTCAGGAGCCACACAGCCTGTGCTTAAATCTAAGCCTTGAAACTTGCTAGCCCTGCCTTCGCTGTGCCTCAATTCTGTGATGTCTAAAGTTGGGCAAAAATAGCTCCTCCTCATAAGTTGTGGTGAGGATTAATGGTTAAGTATAGATTTAGCACATATAAAAATATTGGGCAAGAAAAGGCAACAATAAATATTGATCATGTTATGAATATCATATCAGAATGGATCATTAAAGTTTCAACTGCCATTTTTATTATTTTGTGCATTCATATTGTATGGCATGCATTGACTTTCATAATATAATATTTATTATAAAAAAGTAGCTCACAATGCTGTAGGTATTATTTATGTTCTCAAATACAGTTATATTTGCATAGTGAAATATCTGAAAATATATACATTGAATTGGAAATAGTGCTTGTCTGTGATCAATACTCCTTTAAGTTTCTAATGATTTTCACCTTCCCTGTATTTTCCATTTTTACTTACAAGAAAACACTTGGATTTAGAAGTGAAAAAATAGCAAAAATAAATGACCATTCCCAGCTGTTTCCATAGGAGAGTGAGTCAGTGTCAGATGTAGAATATCCCTAAAGCAGGTGAATCAAGTTAATTGGGTGGTCACAGCATTAATTCTTAAATCTACCACATGAGAGATGGCTAAGGAGTGGCAAACAAGTCTCAAATAAATCTTACAATCTGCAGTCCTATGATGTCTCCACTCCTGAATATTTAGTGGAGGTCATGAGAAGAAAGTACCTTTACAACATCATTCTTTCTGTTCTCTCCAAATAAAGCCCCTTGAACTGAAAGCAGATTCAGGGCTTTAACCTCCAAATTAGCCAAGCAGGGAATCCACAGGAGAGGGAAAGGGGGAGGCTGCATGAAATTGCCCAGTACTCAGCCCATAGCTTCCAGAGGGGAAATGCTTCAACAGCGGGATTCAGGGAGAAGTTTAGTCACAGCTCCTTCTGCCCAGGGCCCTGGAAAACAAGCACAAGTGGATTTAAACACCTTTGAAGTACCTTCCTTGTGCAAATAAAATAGTAAAAAGAAAGGAGAATATTCGCATGCCTAGCACTTGTAATACAAATCAGCTTGAGTTAAAACAGAATGCAACCCCAAATCAACTTAAGGTTTGGCTCTTAGTGTGGATACAAGAAATGAGCTCCCTGCAATCACTGTCATCTGTCACCATGATGGCCCAGATTAGGTTCTAGATGTACAGGCCTAGATGAGTAACAGTATGAATGAAATTCAGAAAATGAGGCCTGGACAAAGGGAAGATGTTTCATGTTCAAGAGACACTGAGGCACTGTTTTGGACTAGCTGGAGCCTGGGAACTCTAAGACTGAACACAGATGATAAAAACTGACTAAACATAGAGCTGTTGATTCTATGAGGGCTTCCTGTAGCATGTAAAGTGAGAAAATGGGTTTGTTCTTGTCAGAAGCTCTGAAAGAGAATACGCACGGCAAGGAGGCAGAAATGGCAGGTCACCCTATTGAGATGTGAATGTGGATTTGTTTTTGTCTTTCTTTCTTCCTCCTTTTCCATTAAGTAGCCAGGAATCTCTGAATAAAACATGTAGTGAAACAATACAATATTTCACGTAAGAAGAAACTATAAAGAAAGATTTCAAGAGTTAAAAAGTCCAATTCTTGATAATGGTCACCTCTGGGAAATTATAGAAGAGTGCAAAGTGAGTATCACCTCTCTATGTAATGTTTATTTCTGAATATGAGGACATAGAAGTCTGACCTACTATTTTCTGTTAACTATCTCATGTCTGTAATGTTCCAAAACAGCTATAGTTCTTATGAGTTTTAATTCCAATTTTGAAAACCACCCATACATTTAGAGAAAGTGAAAACTATAGTCAGACCCAGATACAAATAAATCAAATTTGGAACTCATTATCTTTTCAAGATATCATGTTTGTGCATTTCTTCCCTATATTAAGATAGACTAGAAGTCCAAGGTGAAAGCTCAACAGGGTTGGCTTTTTTTTTCTTCATTTATTGTTTTTATTTGCAGGGGTGGGGTGCTTTCTTTTGAGGCCTTTCTCCTGGGCTTGCAGATGGCCACCTTCATACTGTATTTTCACATAGTCACCCCAAGGTTTGTGTTTCTGTGTCTTATTCTCCCTTTATAAGGACACCAGTTATATTGGTGTGGGACCCACCGATAGGATTTCATTTTACTTTAATCACCTCTTTAAAAGCTCTGTCTCAAAAAACAGTCACATTCTGAGATACTGGGTGTTAGAATTTCAAAATATGAATTTTGGAGGGGGACACAATTCAGTCCGTTACACTCTCATCATATTCTCTATGGGTGTACATGTAATGCATATGTATTACATGTGGGTCTTATATATGTGGAGGCTCAACATTTGCTAAAGATCAAGTCAGTAATTAGATGTACCCAAGTGTTCTCCACACTTTAACCATTGGCATATGCAATCTTTTCTGTGTAAGGGCTGAGGCCAGCATAGAGGAAGTCACCAACCATGGTCCTGTAGGCAGGGACTGATCTGGGCTTGGGGACTAAAGTCTCCTGTTTTCAGTCTAATGTACTAGAAACTCATCTTTATACAATGTTATTTTCTGCTGTCTCCTCCTGGGAATCAATGGAGGTTCCAATGTCAAATGGAAGGTAAAACACGAGAAGTCACATAAAATAAAAAGTAATGATATGTGATATAGGGTTAACACACAAAATATATAAACAACAACTCAATAGGAAAAAAACCAAACAATCCTAGTTAAAAATTGGTCAGTAGATCTGTCATTTTTCCAAAGAAGACATATAGATGGCCAACGATACATAAAAAGATGCTCAATATCATTAAGCATCATGGAAATACAAACCAAAACCCCAATGACATATTACCTCATTCATGTTAGAATAGGAATTATCACAAAAACAAGATAACAAATGTTGGTGAAGACATTGAGAAAAATGTGTACTGTTAATGGGAATGTAAATTGGTACAAAACGTATGGAAAACATTATGGAGAGTCCTCAAAAAATTAAAATTAGAACTAACGTATGATCCAGGAATCCCATGTCTGGCTAATTGATGAAAATGAAAACACTAACTGGAAAAGATATATGCACACCCATGTACACTGCAGCATTATTTACAATAGCCAAGATATGGAAAGAACCTGTGTCCATTGATGGGTGACTAGAAAAAGATAATGTAGTATACACATAATACCACATATATAATTTTATATACACACACACACACAAGGGAATACTATTCATTCATAAAAAAGAACAAAACTTTGCCATTTGTGATAACATGGATGGAATAAAATCATTACACTAAATGAATAGGTCAGATAGGGAAAGAAAATTACCATATGATCTCACTTACATGTGGATTCTAAAAAAAAAACCACACAAATCAAAAAGAAAGAAAACAAGCTCATGGATATAGAGAACACATTTCTGGTTGCCTGAAGCAGGGATGAGGGGTGGGACAAATCGGTAAAGGGGGTCAAAAGGTAGAAACTTCCTATAAAATAAATGAAAATATATAAATTCTTATAAAATTCATAAGAATGGCAATGTAATATACAGCATGGTGACTCTGGTTAATACTACTGTATTGCATATTTGAAGGTTGCCAAGAGAATGGATCTTTAAAGTCTTCATCACACAAGAAAATGTAAGTATTTCAACTGACGGATATTAACTAGCCTTATTCTGGTGATCATTTCACAATATATATAAAAATATCACATTATGTTGTACAGCACATACACAAAAAACAATAAAAGGATTGATTAGCTTCTTCTTCCTCACCATAATCAAGTAACTCATCCACAAAGAAATGGCAACACACCTAACCCAGCATATAATTATGTATACATGTCCTTTCCTGCTGCATTAAAGCCCAATGGTGTTTATGAGTTATCATGGTTAAATCATCTCTATTATTGGGGGTAGAACACAGGCGAGCCCATACATGTCTTTGTTGAAGCTTTACACTGTTACATGTTGGATACTTTCAATTGGTTTGTTCATTTCTCCTCACATAGCTCTGTGAGGTAAGTATCAACCTGCCCATTTTACAGATGACCAACTACAGGATCACACACATCTACATACAGGCATCTTTTTCATTTTCTACAGGTTATTTTTTCCCAGAGAAAAGACATAATGTTAGACACAGAAACAAGCAATGAAAAGACAATTTTAGACACAGAACAAAGGTTTTTCTTCAAACTAAATTATGAAACAATATCTGTTGTGTGATCCCAATGCCCTTTGAAAAATTAATATGTGTATAAAAAGAATGACATACACATAATTTCACTTCCTACTTATGCCTACATCTACATTCATTTACTTACTAAATGCGAATTAGATGTCTACTGTGTGCCAGGCACTGTCACTCCAGTTCCACATCTGAATCCACATCTTTCTTCCCTTGATAAGTAGACTGGATAACTGGAAATGGCCATAGGCAGCAAGATGGATGTTAGTACCCAACACATGGGGCAGTGAGGTTTGACCTCAAACGGACTCCATTCCAAACATTTTTAGTCAAAGCTTGACTCTGAGTCCTGGAAATCCAGCATCTACACAGTCTAGACAGACTAGGTCTATACCCCAGTTCTCCACTTAAAATGGTGTGAGTTTGATACTTTTGCTTCCCCTTACAGTCACTCAGTTGCCTCCTTTGCAAAATTGCAATTATATGATACCGACCTTAGAAGAAAATGTCACCTTCTAAGCACACAAATCAGATTATGTCACTCCTACACTCTAAACCTCCACCATCATAATGACTCTAACTCCTTACATCCGAATGATGTGGTTCCTGTCTGACCTTTGATCTCATCTCTTACTGTCTGCACTTTCTCTGCAAGATTCCAGCCACTTGAGGTCATCATATGCTTCTGGAATAACTGATGCCATTCACATAGCAAACCAAAAAGCCAAGCCAGTCCTCTTCTTGTTCAGGACTCAACTCAAAATCCTTTCCTGAGAAAGAGTCTGACTGACAAACCCATCTGTAATAATCGCTGTCCCCATCGTTTCCTACTCAATGGATCTGTTTATTGTTTAAAGCACTCATTCCCATATAAAATTCTCCTTCTTGATTTGTTTACTTGCTTATTGCCAGTTTTCCCAAAGCATCAGGGACAATGTCTTCCCTTGTTCACTGTTTTGCATCCATAGTGACCAGTTCAGTGGCTGTTACAGATCTAATTGCATAATCTAAAAAAGATACGTTAAAGTCTTAACCCCCAGTACCTCAATGTAAACTTATATGGAACTATGGTTGTTTGCAGATGTAATTGGTTAAGATGAGGACACACTGGAGTAGAGTGTGTCCCTAAACCAATGTGACTGGTATCCTTATGAGAAGATAGCCATGTGAAGATAGAGCAGGAGCAACACCATGTGACTATGAAGGTAGAGACTGAAGTCCTACAGCTACAAGCCAAGAAATGCACACATTGTTAGCAAACCAGCAGAAGCTAAGAAGAAGCTTAGATAAAGACGCCAAAAGGATTCTGAGGGAGCATGGCCCTGGAAACACCTTGATGTCAGGCTTCTAGCCTCCAGAACTGGGAGATAATCAATTTCTATGGTTTAAACCACCCAGGTTTTTGTACTTAGTCATGTGAGCCTTAGGAAAGTACTGCAGAGCCTCCCATATCAAACACTGAGTAAGTATGGCTGAAGAGAAAGAATTGTTCCCCTTTTGATCCATTGGGAAAAGGTATAGATACTTAAAGAGGAGTTACAGGAGAAATTGATACCAAATAAGAAATTAAAGCATTCAAAATTTTAAGAACACCTTGTTGCAAATGCACAGCAGTGACTTTCTACCTTGGATGAATACCACAATAACCAGGAGAAATTACACAAAATGTAGATAACCCGAGCCCCACTTCCCAGTTTTGGATACAGCAGACTTAGGGTGGGCCCATGTACCTGCTATTTCAATAATCACCCCCTACTGATTTTGATGAGGTGGTCCATGGACTCCACTTAGAAAACTCCTGACCTAAACATCAGACTTTTGTGTACCATTTATTTAATGCCTACCATTTAGTGTTCTGTGGTATGTGGGGAATCTCTTAATTTAATTACTCCAAAGGGCTCTGGTCCTTCCCTCTTACCTTCAACCATAAATTCCTTTCTTGCATGGGATCACACTTAAAGTCCACAATATTCCTGGCTAGTTCAAGCATTGGGTGTTGTTATCGTGTTGTAATGAAGACACTGGAGGAAGAAGGGTAGTGACTTAACTAAAGTGTCCTAATGATGTGACCCTGATCTCTTTACTCTTGTTCCAGCAAATTATCTAGCAGATTGAACATCACACCTGGTTCTTCTCTTTCAACCCCTGTTTCTGGGGCTCAGAGTCCACATCCTTCTCTCATATTCCACTAGAAGGGGGATCCAGGGTATCAAACAGATGGAATGGAGAGGAAAAGGAGAGGAAGGGAGAGTACATGAAGTGCAGGGGAAAGCAGTAAGCATGTGCTTGCCTGTCCCCACTCAGGTTACTGGAAGTTGTGCAATGACACTGTGCCTCTTCCCCAGCACCATCCCATAGTTGCCTCCTGCACACAGCAGTGACATTGAAGCTCTCACATCATGGAAATGTGAGCTCATGCCTGCTTGCTGTTCCATGTCCAAGTATTCTGTCTGGAAGCCATGTTATGGTGTTCATGTCAGAGGCAGCACGTTGACAGAATGAAGAAAGCAAAGCTGGAACAAGCATCTGACATTCTGAGGGCTTTCTAGATGCCATATAGTATAGGTTGCTCTTTTCAGACTCCTTCTGCCAAGAGACTGCCTTTGAATTCATCTACTGTATCAGTACCTCTAGTTCCCTAGCCAACTGCCTTCAGTCTCCAACTGTAACTCTTTCCTGAGTCTTCAGTCTGCTTGCAGGCTTCTTCATCAGATTCTACTATGCTTCCATATTCTCAGGAGTCAATATATTAAAATAAATGTCCATCAATATACCAACATCCCATTGGTTCTGTTTCTCTGGAGAACCCTGACGTCAAGTTTCTATGGCAAGTGCCATACCCAGGCGATTCCCCATACCAGAGATGATTCCTCACAGCCATCCAATCCCTGACCTTTTGCCAAAAGCAAAACACCTTTGCTCTTCAGGCCACCACATAAGAAAGCATTGTGGTTAAACCCTGTAGACTGAGACTAGGGAAATGGGTGGAAATCTGTCCAGGTTGATGGAACAAAGAATGTCCCTGTCATCAGGAATTTGGCTTACTTTAAACAGACAATAGGGAATTATTATCTCTACCAAGAACCCCAGGGAGGTATCTTGAGTTCTGGCAGAGGAGCTACTATGCCTTAGAGGGTGAACATGTAAAATTAAGATCATGCTAAGCTGTCAGCTATCTGTGGCAGAAAACTAAAGACTGTTTACAAGTATGTGACTAAATGATCTAGATACATAAAAATGTCATCTAAGCAGCCTCAGAGTTGTTTCAGAGAAGCAGGCCTAAAATATTACAATTTCTACTTTTTCAGTTTAAGTTTTTTGTTTTTTTAATGTTCAATATATCACTCTTTCCCACATTGCTTCTGGAGTTTTGGTCCTAGCTGGGAAAGTTTCTAACATTATACTCAATGGCAAAACACTGAAAGCCTTTCCTCTAAGATCAGGATCAAGACAAGGATGTCCACTCTCACCACTTTTATTCAACATACTACTGGAAGTCCTAGCCACAGCATTAAGACAAGAAAAAGAAATAAAAGTAATACAAATTGGTAAGGAAGAAGTAAAACTATCACTATTTGTAGACAGCACCATACTATGTATAGAAGTCCCTAAAGACTCCATCAAAAAACTATTCAAACTGATTGGTGAATTTATTAATGTTGCAGGATACAAAATTAATACACGGAAATCTGTTGCATCTCTCTACAGTAAAAATGAAGTAATAGAAAGAAAAATTAAGACAACAATCCAATTTATATTTGCATCAACTTTCAGTTATCAAATAAATAAATAAATAATGGAGAGTAAAAGATAGCATCTGAGATATGGTTAATAATACTGTAATAATGTTAGGTAACAAATGATCACTACACTTATCTTGGTGAGTATTGAGTAATGTATAGAATTGTTGACAATATGTTGTATACCAAAAACTAATATAACATAGTATGTTGAATATACTTCAAAACAAAAAATATTTATATATACCCTTGTCTTTTGGTTATTAAAAGGATGAATGACCAGGAATCACATAATTTTCAAAATTCTACTGTAGAGTTTGGAAAGGCAGGCTCTCTCTGAATCCTGAAAAAGTAAAAAACTTCTCTGTGCCTCAGTGTTCCTCATCTATAAACTAGGGAAAACAATAAGCCCTGCCTCAGGGGTGGTTGTTTTGAAAATTAATTGAGTTCATACACGAACACACTGAGCACAGGGCAAGGCACACAGTAATAGCTCAATATGCTAGAAGTTTTTGTAAATATATGCAAGTTCAGATTCTTACACTTTTGATAGTTTTCATGCATCTTTAATAGAGCTTAATAGTCTTATAACTGAATCCTATTCATCAACTGATGCATGTTTTAAATCACCAATTTTCACTATAACCATTGTTGGATACCTAGTTATCATGAGAATGACTCAAAAGTTCTTTGAACAACCCATCATAGAAAACAGCACCACCATTTCTGCATGTGGCTGAATAAAAACCTGAGGGCTCATCAAGGATCTGCCTTATGGTCCCACATCCCCACCCACAGCTACTGCAGGTCGCACATATCCTACCTCCAAAAACCCTATGCTGAGCCGGCTCTGTCCCCTGCAGACTGCTCCAGTGCTGGGCCAATCCATGCTGGTCGTTCTCCTGGATTTCTGCAAGATGCATTTAATGGCCACCAGGCTTGGTTTCCTCTTGACCTTCAGGACTCAGCTCAAATGTCCCTTCCTGAAAAAGTGCTTGACTGACAACATCATCGATAATCCCTGCCCTCATCATTTTCTACTCAATGGATTCATTTGTTGTCTTTAAATCACTCGTATCCAAAAAGTAAAAAATATATATAAATAAAAAAGAATAAAGCACTCATATCCATATACAATTGTCCTGCCTATTGATTTCTTTACCTTATTGACAGTATTCCCAAGCTAGAAACAAAGCACCAGGGACACTGTCTAGTCTTGTTCACTGTGTTGTGGCCACAGCAACTAGTTCAGGAGCTGTTATAGGTTGCATTCCATCATACCAAACAAGAGATTGAAGTCTTAACTCTCAGCACCTCAAAAGTAACCTTCTTTGGAACTATGGTTGTTCCAGATGTAATTTGTTATGATGAGGTCCTATTGGAGTAGGACGTATCCGTAAACCAATATGTCTGGTGTCCTTATAAGAAGACAGGCATGTGAAGACAGAAGAGGGATAACACCCTGTGACAATGAAGTCAAGGATTGCAGTCACAAAGCTGCAAGCCAAGAAATAAACACATTGCCAGCAAACCACCAGAAGCTGGGAAGAAGCGGGATAGATACACCAAAAAGATTCTGAGGGATCATGGTCCTGGCACCACCTTGATTTCAGGCTTCTAGCTTCCAGAACTGTGAGACAACAAACTTTTTTTTAAAGATTTTATTTATTTAATTGACAGAGAGAGACACAGCGAGAGAGGGAACACAAGCAGGGGGAGTGGGAGAGGGAGAAGCAGGCTCTCCGCGGAGCAGGGAGCCCGATGTGGGGCTCGATCCCAGGACCCTGAGATCATGACCTGAGCCGAAGGCAGATGCTTAACGACTGACCCACCCAGGCGCCCCGAGACAACAAACTTCTATTGTTCAATCCACAGTTTGTAGTTCTTAGTCATGGAAGTCTTAGGAAAGTATCACAGCGCCTCCCATATTAAACACTGAATAAGTATGACTGAAGAGAAAGAATTGTTCCCTTTTTGATGCCCTGGGAATAGTCACAGATAGGCTGCACTGCAGGAGAAATTGATGCCAAATAAGACATTAAAAGATTCAATATTTTAAGAGCCCCTGGTTGCAAATCTACAGCAGTGTTTTTCAAATGTGGGTGAATACCACCATAAACAGGAGAAATTGTTCAAAATGTAGACACTTCCCACCTCACGTCCCTGTTTTGGATACAGTAGACGTTGGTTGGGCCAATATACCTGATGCTGTAGCAAGCACCTTGATGACTTTGATGAGGTAGTCCACGGACCAAACCTGGAAAAATCCTAAATTCAGCATCTTGATGTTTGTGTACCATTAATGTAACACCTACCATGTAGAGTTCTGTCATATGTGTGGAGACTCTGTTAATATAATACTAAAAAGGGCACTGGTCCTTCCTTCCCACCCATGGCCCAGATTGCTTTCCCACAGGGGATCACACTTAAAGTCCACAATATTCCTGGGTGGTTGGAGATTTGTGAGTTGTTATCCTGTTGTATGGAAGACACCACAAAAGGAGTAGTGACTTACCTGAAATGTCCCCAATGACGGGATCCTGATCTCTTCACTCTTGTTCCAGGAAATTGTATACAACACTGGACATCATTCTTGGTTCTTCTCTATCAGCTCCTGTTTTAGGGACTCAGAGTCCACATTCTCTCTGACATTCCACTAGAAGGAGAGTCAGGGGATCCGACAGCATGTGGAATAGATAGGAAAGTGAGAAGAAGGGAAAGCACATGAAATGCAGGGGACAGGGGTCAGCATGTGATCACATGTCCCCACTCAGTCACTGGAATCCATACAACACTGTGCCTCTTCCCCAGCTGCATCCCACAGCCGCTCCTGCACACAGCAGTGACATTCACACACTCTCACATCATGGAAATGTGGGCTCATCCCTGCTTGCTGTTCCATGTTCAAGTATTCTCTCTAGTAGTCACGCTAGCATGTTCATGTCAGAGGCATTTCATTGATGGAATGAAGGAGGCAAAGCTGGAATGGACAGGCAACATATTGAGGGCTTTCTAGAGCGAAATACAGTGTAGGTTGCTGTTCCCAGATTTTTTCTCTTTTAAGTCCTCAAATCACTGCAGTGAGGTTGGCAACATTACTTTCTTTATACAGATTGGGAGATCATCAGGCGACAGAGCAAGGTCCATGCTCAAAGAATTCCAAGAAGGCAACAAATGTAAACAGCAGTTAATTTAAAAAGGCTAACATTGGCCAATTCTGTGACAACGTCAGCATCAAAATATGTATAATTACTATGTCGGATGGTATTCCTTTGATCAAAGTAGGAATCCATGAGTCAGACTCATGAAATAAACCCATGAACAAGTAAATAATTGATAGGGGAGAAGGGACAACCCCTGACAGACATTTGAACGGCAATTTATAAGTCTAGAAAAAGTGACAGAATTATAAAAGCATCACTTAACAACTATCAGAGTTGAGTGATTCAGGCAAGAATCATAAATGGATTTTCAGTTTGCATCAAATTTTACAGCAGTCACTGAGTCACCATGGTAACCATGCTGGCCAAGGAAAGCTGAGAGAAAACAAACAGCAACCACCCTGACTTGTCTCCTGACATGTGCTTGGGACTGAGGAGGACAGACATAACCCACAGTAATTCACCTCAAATATTCCTCACAAGAAATATTCCTCAGAGCTTCACCAACACACACACATACACACACACACACACTCATACATGTTCTCTCCCTCTTTTTCTTACCACCCAATAATCCACCTAAACTATTTCATATTAGTGACTACTTTTCTGAAGATAACCTGCAGAATTTTGTGAGGCACATGTCAATCCCTATATTCAGTACATTGCTGATCACATCTAAAGGCTAATATGGATGGCTAACAGAATATGTTGGCTAATTGAATTTAAGTAATAATTTTTAAAAACTACAATGAGATATCACCTCACACTGTCAGAATGGTTAAAATCAATAACACAAGAAACAACAAATGTTGGCAAGGATGTGGAGAAAAGGTAACCCTCCCGCACTGTCGATGGGAATGCAAACTGGTGCAGCCACTCTGGAAAACAGTGTGGAGTTTCCCCAAATGTTAAAAAAAGAACTAACCCTACAATCCAGCAATTGCACTACTGGGTATTTACCCAAAGAATGCAAAAATACTAATTCAAAGGGACACATGCACCTTAATGTTTATAGCAGCATTATGTATAGTAGCCAAATTATGGAAACAACCCCAGTGCCCATTGACTGACGAATAGATAAAGAAGATGTGGTATGTGTGTGTGTGTGTGTATGTGTGTGTGTGTATATCTCAGCCATCAAAAAGAATGAAATCTTGCCATTTGCAATGACATGGATGGAGCTAGAGGGTATCATGCTAAGTAAAATCAGTTAGTCAGAGAAAGACAACTATGATTTCACTCATATGGGGAATTTAAATTTAAGAAACAAAGCAAATGAGTAAAGAGGAAAAAAGGGGCGCCTGGGTGGCTCAGTCGTTAAGTGTCTGCCTTTGGCTCAGGTCATGATCCCGGGGTCCTGGGATCAAGCCCCGCATCGGGCTCCCTGCTCAGCAGGAAGCCTGCTTCTCCCTCTCCTATCTCCCTGCTTGTGTTCCCTCTCTTACTGTGTCTCTCTCTGTCAAATAAATAAATAAAATCTTTAAAAAAATAAAAAAAAATAAAGAGGAAAAGAAGAGAGAGAGGCAAACCAAGAAACAGACTCTTAAATATAGAGAACACAGTGATGGTTACTAGAGGGGAGACGGGAAGGGGGATGGGTGAAATAGGTAGTGGGGATTAAGGTGTGCACTTCTCCTGAGGAGCACTGAGTGATGTATGGAAGTGTTGAATCACTATATTGTACACCTGAAACGAATATTACACTGTATGCTAACTAACTGGAATTTAAATAAAAACTTAAAAATACATACATACAGATAATCTATGTAGCGTACCCATGACTACAGATGTGCAAGGCCTGTATACTGAACACTGCAAAACATTGCTGAGAGAAATTAAACAAGTCCTAAATAAATGGAGAGACATACCTTCTTCAGGGGTCAGAAGACTCAGTATTGTTAAGATGTCTATTCTCCCCAGACCGATCTATAGATTAAATGAAATACCAGTAAAAATCCTAGCATATGTACTTAAAAAAATCGACAGTCTTATTCTAAAGTCATGTGAAAATGGGGAGGGACTATACTATGAAAAAAAAGACTTTGAAATAGATAATAAATTTGGAAGATAAGCTCTATTTTATTTCAAAACTATAAATTCACAGTAATCAGGACAATGTGGCATTGGGATGGAAGTAGAAATGTATATCAAAGGAACGACATGAAGAGTCCACAAATAGACCCAAACATGTATGGACAACAGAATTTTGACAAAACTACAAGGGCAATTCAATAAAGAAAAAAATAGTCTTTTCAACAAATAATCCTATGACAAGTGGGTCTCCATAAACACAAACAGCATCTGTGATCCTTGTATTGCACCATACACAAAAGTCAAATCAAAATGAACCACAGAACTAATTGTAAAAACTAAAAATATTAAACATCTAAGAGAAAACCACAAGCAAATAATCCCGTCATTCCTAGACTAGCTGAAAATTTCCTAGATGTGACATCAAATGCAAAATCAAAACCATGAATGAACAAACGGAAAAACTAGACTTCCTCAGAATAATTTTTGTTCTTCCAAAGACACTGCTGAGAGAATTAAAAGACAAGCCACTGACTGGGAGAAAATATTTGAAAATCATATATCTGATAAAGGACTTGTTTCCAGAATAAAAAAATCTCAAAACAATAAGAAGGAAACAGACACTCCAATAAACAAGTGGGCAACAATTTGAAAAGATACTACACCAAAAGAGATATACAAATGTCAAATAATCACATGAAGAGATGCTGAACATCATTAGTCATTAGGGAAATGTAATCCCATTACACCCCTCTGAGAATGGCTGAAATGAACAGATTGACCATTCCAAGTCCTGGCAGGGTTTTGGCAGATGAAACTCAGACACTGTTGGTGGCAATGAAAAATGGTGCGACCACATGGGAAAATAGTTGAGCACTTTTTTATGATGTTTATTTTAAATTCCTCTAAATAAACACAGCTAAGTATTAGAGAAAGAAACCCTACATCCAAGCACAATCTTAAACCCAAGTGTTTATAGCAGCTTTATTTACAAGAGCCCAAAATTGGAAACAATTCAAATACCCATTACCTGCTGAACATAAAGACCAAATTGTGGTGTATCCACATAAAGCAATATTAGTCAAAGATTAAAAAAGAAGGTCATAGTCACACATGCAACAAATGCATAAATCAAGAAATAAATAGATTGAACAAAAGAAGACTGACAAAAAGGAATACACCCTGTTGAATTTCATTCACATAAAATTATAGGAAAAGGGAAGTTATTCTTACTGACAAAATATCAATGATTGCCTGGGAATGAGGTTAGATGACATAGACAGGGAGTTAGGGAGAGGTAAATGGGGGCATTACAAAAGAGTATAAAGAAGCTTTTTGAGGTGATGGATACTTTCATGATCTTGACTGTAGTATTGGACTGACAGGTGTATACATATATCAAAACTTATTAGAGCATATAATTTAAATATGTATAGTGTATTGTAGGTCATCCACACTGGATGTCAAACATCAAAAAGTGTTTGACATATATTTATAATTCTCTGGTACAATACTAAAAAGTGGGTGGAAGAGTCCTACGATTATGTTCTTATACTATTAACAGACTTATGCTATAGCTAATCAAATTGGCCCATACTGCATATAACCAAAGTAGAAATAATCACTTGCAATGAAATCTCTCCAGATATTTAGAGAAAGTTGATGTCCGTTTCCTTCCTAAGTACAGAAATAAAAATATTATATATTAGGAAACAATCAATTATATTTAAGAGAACTGGTTATTTTATGGAAGGAGAATGAGGTTCAATTTCATTGGGCAAACTGTGGAATAATAAATATTCTTTACAATATTAAATTTTAAAGCAGAGTGAGAAATAGAGACTTCCAGTATTAAACTGAATAAGTCACAGGAATAAAAGCCAAGGGAATATAGTCAATGGTATTGTAATAGCACTGGGTGGTGACAATAGCTATATGTGTGAGCATAGCATAACTTAAAGACTTGTGGAATCACTATGCTGTACACTTGAAACTTGTGTAACATTGTCAACTACACTTCAATTTTTAAAAATATATGAAATTCTAGACGCAGACATTTCAAACTAACATTTGGAAAATTCCTGGCTCTTTCAAAACTTTATTATATAATGGAAAAAAAAACATGGGGACCAGGGAAGAATCTATGTTACAATGTGAAATTGCAAGGAAGATCTAACAACTGCACATTGACATCCATCTATGAGATACATGGGAATTGCCAATTATTCTTTATGCACTGAGAACAATTTAGGTTCATTTATCCCAAATGCATTAAAGACCAACTTCCTACTCCAGCTGGACAATTACTTCTTAGGGAAAAACCTCATCTCTAAGAAGGGCCTCAAAGACTACTACACAGGCTGTAGCTGCTAATGGAATGACATCCCACCTGCTAAACCCCTTAACCCATAATGGGAACAAAGCAGCTTCTCTCATTTTAAACTAGTTTGTGAACTTCACAGGAGCTATTCCACAGCAATCTTTTGCTCAGATCTATGAACTCACTTCAGCCAGGATTTATATGCCAGCAGGGATGTGAACTGTTAACAACTCCTGAGAACTGCTGCTCTAGAATCTGGAGTAGAAGTTTCAGCAGCCATCAGGACACAGATGCTCAGAAATTGCCTCCTTCGGACACCTGATATGAGCTGGGCCACCAGCATGAAGAACTGCACACGAAGAGAGACACATCCAGTAATCACTATGCTTTACCAGTGTAACTATGTGCCCAGAGCCAGGCTAGGCTGTAGGTAGTGACAATGACACAGATACAAGAGGTTGTGA